GCGATGTCTGTCTCTCCCGACGCCCCTCACATGCAGATGTCGGTTTTACAACCTCATAACCTCGCATTTCTGCAGGACAACAAGCTCGCTGCGTTTCGCACCCAGGATGGCCAAGCCTACGTGGTCGACACTTACTGCCCTCACCTCGGGGCTAAACTCGCTGCTGGCAGGCACACCGTGGGCAATCGCATCGAATGCCCGTTTCATGGCTGGCAGTTTCAAGGAGAAGATGGAAAATGCACCCGCATCCATATGCTGAAAAAGGTGACCATGCCCCAAAACTGCAGAAAGCATCCACGGAAACGGCAGTGCCCTGTGTGTCCTCATTAAAAGCTACTTCATTAAGGAAAAGTGGTTTTTATAATATCCCACCCTCCATCCTGCTCCCCTATTTCATGCAGCACCCTAATTTTCCTCCTGGGTTGTCCATGTTGGGGCAGAATGTTCCAGTGCCCTTTCCTATGTTAGATAATAACTGGGACTTTAGCCAAGTTAAATAAACACCCTTCTTGATTTTGATAGTCCTACAACTCCTGCATTCAGCAAGCAGGGTATAAAAGAAGATTTTTAACTCTGAGTCATCCGTTGCACCAGCAGAGATGGATCCTGAGGAGCTATGGGGTTTCAGGAATGATTCTGTACTCTATAGTGATAGCTTATACCACGTCAGTGCTTAAATCTGTCGCATTAGCATGACAGAAAAGTTTCTTAATGGCAATTTTTTCTCCTTTTAAGGCTTGAAGGGAACTTTTGGATACAACCCAGGAAAGCTCTTCGCATACACCTACCGTTTAGATGTGGTTTGTGTTGACTGTGTAGGAGGAGGATCTTACTTCAAGTTCACATGTAACAATTACTTGATCTGGCTGCACTTAGTTTAAATCACCAATTCTAGACGTGGCTGAAACCAGCAAACAGACTTACCTTGAGTTTTGCTTTGGCTTTTGCTTCTTAGTTATTTTCCTGAGATGTTCAACTTTCTCTGATTGGGATTGATTAGCAGCAAAAGTCAGTCTTTCTGCTAAACAGGCTATTTTTCCCAAAATGAAAGAAACATTCCAGCTTTATGGGATGAGATAAACAATTTATAGCTCTCACCAAACAGCAATTCTGGGTTTTTTTGTGTGTTATTTTCAGAAAAAAGATTAATACTGTATTTCTTTTCCCATACATACTCAGTCAGGAGCTGCATTCAAATGAAAATTTGGTTCCAAGTAATGAGCAATGATGTGTTTCATCACAAAATGAGAATGAATATTCTGGATATACGCAAACGCTTGCCAAGATGCATTGTGTCATCTGAAACAGCTGTATTCAGAGTCATTGTTATCCGTAGTTATTGAAAGAACGAAACTGCAGGCAGCTGCCCTGCTCCCAGTACAGCCCAAATGGGTCAGGTTGATTTAAACAGATTTAGAAGCCATCTGTGCTGTGCAGGTCACTTTGATGGAGAGGTATTTTGGAGAGCTCAGATGGGCAGCTCTTCTGGCACCGGGCTTGCAGGGGACCAGCAGCCGGGTGGGAGAGCCGCAGAGCCCAACCTGGTGCTAGATGAAGCTGGTGAAGGGCCTGGAGAACAAGTCTGATGAGGAGCGGCTGAGGGAACTGGGGCTGTTTAGCCTGGAGAAGAGGAGGCTGAGGGGAGACCTCATCGCGCTCTACAACTACCTGAAAGGAGGTTGTAGCCAGGTGGGGGTCGGTCTCTTCTCCCAAGTAACCAGCGATAGGACGAGAGGGAATGGCCTCAAGTTGCGCCAGGGGAGGTTTAGACTGGACATTAGGAAAAATTTCTTCACTGAAAGGGTTGTCATGCATGGGAACAGGCTGCCCAGGGAAGTGGTGGAGTCACCATCCCTGGAGGTATTTAAAAGACATGTAGACGTGGTGTTTAGGGACATGGTTTAGTGGTGGACTTGGCAGTGTTAGGTTAATGGTTGGACTCGATGATCTTAAGTGTCTTTTCCAACCTAAATGATTCTATGATTCTATGTCTGCGTGGGGGCAGATGAAGCCCTCTTTAAAATTTTATGAGATCATCCCACCCAAAGCACCAGATTTTTTCAATCAGAAATCACAGCAAAGGTCTTCTCCTGCCCCTCTGATATTCATTGACTGAAAGAGAAACATAATTTCTCCTATTATTTCACCTCCCATGTGACTGTACAAGGCTGAATAATAAGGAAGCGCTATCTTCTGTGCTTGTTTGAAAATTAGAAAAAAAAGTAATGAAGGCAAAAGCCTTCCAATCTAGTAGAAGCTACATTTTCTGACAATTGGGTAAATATAAAAGCCAAAATTCATTTCACTGGAAAGAGGGCAGATACATTCTTAAAGCAACACATGATACCACAGTATTGTAACAGAGAATGACTTGAACTTGAGAGGTAGAGATGGCTTTTACTCTCTGCACATCTATAACTAAAAGCACCTCTTTTTAGCTCATTGAAACTTGAGGAGCATCCATTGATGCAGTCGTTTACTTATTTGAACAGTTTTAAGTGTAGTGAAAGAAGGCTTCAGAGCCGCCAGCCATGCTTCTTCCCTAAAATTGCAAAAAAATGCAAAACACCCAACTGAAATAAAACTGATTTAAGCAAACTCTGTTCTGTGAACTTCAGAAGCTGTTGTCCTTCTTCAGCAGCCTGAAGGCTGGCAAGTGCCACCAGAGAGTCTGTGCCCCACGGATATCGCCCGTAAAGACGATCTCTGAGCCGTGGTTCAGGACTGGGTGACCCTTAGTACCAGCGTCAGCCGTGGAGATGCCACTTTTAACTGAATCCTTTCTTTCCTCCACAGTGCCAGACTTTGCAAGGGTCTGGACCTGGCCATCCTGCGAGGTGAACAGGATGCTGCTGCTCCGGTACCACTGCAAAGGGGTCGGTCCGACGTGGGCGGTGGAGATGCCACCAAAGAGTGGGTGTTCTGCGGGCAGACAGAGCACTTGCTCGACGCGCACATCCAGGTAGGGAGCCCGGCCCCTCCGTGGGACATGCCCACACCTGGGTCCTCTCCTATAGTCCAGTTCAGGGACATCTCCTCCCAGTTAACCCATTTAGGGACATCTCCTCCCAATTAATCAGCATCATCGCTGCTGCTGGCAGAGCTCAGACCTAGAAATACATCCCTGCGCTGTATACCGCGAGTACGGCATATGTCCCCCAAACACGGATCGTGGGCTTCTTGATTAGAGAGCAGATGTTCTGGGTACTTAAAAGGAATCTGTTAATTTGCTTTGACTTATAACTGATGTAATTTAAAAAAAGATTCTCTAAGGATTGCGGCACTTAGCATCAGGAGGCTTTTCAACTATCGATCACCGAAATGGAAACACGCGGTTATTTTGCTGTTAATCTTCATAATCACCATCACATGCTGACAAATGTGCCACAGAGAACAAAACGGCTGTTGCCTCCATCACGTCTCAGTGGAAAGGAGGCTGGAAAAGGGGAACCGTTCTGTGGCACTAAAGAGAAGGGACCGCGGCCGTGGTCCTCGGAGGGGGCCGGGGGCAGCCGCGGGTGGAGGCTCCGCCGGGAGAGTGGTGGGAGGCAGCAGGAGTTTTGAAAATGGGCAGTCCCTTGGGATTTTGGACCTTGGGAAATTTTTATGTACTTGCCACTGAGCAGAACACTTCTATTTGTAAAAATCAGTGACAAAAATGACCCTTCATCTAAAGTGCGCTTCTCTCCAAAGGCAGTGCCTGCCTCCTGACTAAATCACGACTAGGGTGAGTGGGTTAGAAAAAAATGAAGGATTATTAAAAGAAATGAAGAAGGTGCATGAGACACAGGAGATGCGGCTCTGAGAGTGGGCAGAGATGTGAGAAGCATGGAGAATTTGGGAGATGGATGGGATAATAATATTTATTTCGTGTCTGCTTTTCAGTGCGAGCCACTGAACACAGGTCTGTGCTGGGGCCAGTCTGTGCTACTTGCCAAGCTGGTAGAAAGCCGGTGTATTTGAGTAATAAAGCAGTTGAAACTTCTCAAAAAGTGACATATTGTGGGCAGGCTGGTGGGCTTTAAGGGTTTTAAGATATGTGAAATCTAGTTTAGGAGCACAAACACAAAAATCCTTTATTCCTTGCAATTATTACAGGACCAAAGGAAGGACTTGGAGTCCCAGCTTGCGTGGCTGCATAAGTTAACATGCATAGACTTCTTTGAGCTTAAAATTAACTCTGAATTTTCTGAGCTTCATGTTTGTATTATTCCTATACACTAGTTAAGGACTAGTCCCATGTCGGTGCTGAGGCCCCTTCCTCCGCTCACTCGGTTGCCTCTTGCTGTGCCATGTACCTGCGAGCACCTCTGCTGTGCTCGGAGCGACGTGCTGGGCTGGGCTGCAGTCACGCTGCTGCTATTGCAATACTGCTATTAAGTACAGGCAGCTCACACCCAAGTCCGCCAACGGCAAATTGTTCCCCAATGGCAGGAAGACCCCGAGAACGCAGCTGCCGTGGCTCACCTGGCTTTTCTTCACAGTCCAGCTATTCTGGGCAGATCTGATCTGAGATACACAAGGTCCAAGCTGTGGCATTTTATGAAGCAGATCTGGTTGGCAAGACCCTAGCTCCCCTCTTAGCCATGAGGGGGTCGAAGTCTTTCAAACCAGGTCCCCTTTCTGCCTCAAAGCATCAGTCCCACCTCATCCCCTCTGCCGCATCCCCCCTCCCCCTTCAGGTCCAGTCTCTTTTCTGTGTCTCTGAGGGTTTTAGCTGCACTCCCTCATCTGTGCTCATCTCTAGATTGTCTGCACCATCTCGCTGATACCTCCCCTCAGTCTGTACTCTCCATCTCTTGGACTGAGACGATCCTTCTCTACCCCTCCAGGCCAAGTGGCAGCCGGAGCCGGAACCCAACGAGCATTGCTCCCGGCTGCTGGTTCAACACACCGCAACCATCTTCAGGAAGCACGTCTCCTTGATGGATTTGATGGTTTCAGCCAGGGAGGTATGTCCCACGCTGGTGACCACCAGCACCCCGAGCTGAAGGGCTTTGTCACCCAAAAGGCTAAGTAAGTCCTTGCCCGTCCTGCCCAGTGTAGCCTTTCCTACCGAGTGCATCAGACACACGGGCCAGAACTACGCACAGCTGGGCAGCACGGAGGAAAGGGAGGGTTCGTAAGGACTGCTGTGCCCACAAAACGACTTAAAAAAAAAAATAGCTAGTACCTGAGCAAACACTCATGACAATCCCAAGGGACCTCCACACCACATCGTCACAGCGCTTTACAATGCAGAAGCGTGGACCTTTTCAGTCCATGGTGAACATGCCTGGGAAAGGCATAGAGAGCACTCAATATACGGTAAGAAACATTTTGAGGATGTTGATCTGTGTGATCCAAAAAACTGAGGGTTTTTCAGACAACTTTCTGGAAAGCACAAAGATTTGTCAGTTTATATTTATGCTAAAGAAATAAATTCATACTAATGTCAAGAGCTCCTTCTGCAATTAAAAGTTCGCTCATTTTCTTATTTTCTTCCTTTCTTGTGTTTGGTTTTTGTTTTGGAAACATGTTTATTAACCACACTTCTCTTGCCCCTCTCCACTTCCAAAAAATCAGAACAGTGCATCTTATAGCCCAAGGCCAGCCCTGAACGAGATAATAAAATACTTGACACAAATTGATAAAGAATCAAAGGAAAATAGAAATAATGCCTCTACACATGAATCAATGGGAACTAGATGTTCTCACTTTCATTTTTGGTTGGGGGGGGGTTGATGAAATGGTAAGCTTGCCTAAAACTAGTAACTTTGTTCTAGTACATTTTTGAAGGCATCTGACCTACTCCCATATTACAAATTCAGAACAATAGCAAAACAAGTCATGATACAAAACTTTGATAAGGGATAGATCTCGGTGTAATTAGGGAATTATCACAAAGTGGATGTTGATTGTATCTCTGTTCAATTCTTAAATCAGTGCTATTTAGCACTGATATCAATGAACAAAGAGAAAAAAGACATTAAAATAACCTCACAAAGAGTGCATACCCAACGAAACATTAAAGGAGTAGTAAATAAAGTAGCCAAAACCCCCAGCAATATCTGCACTGCTTTGAAGAACCAAGTGTTATGACCATGCATCTGTGTCTCTGGATGCACGTCAAAGAGCAGAGAACAAGTACTTCATGTCATGCAAGATAAAAGGATGACCCTGATTTCAGCTAAAACCTAATGTGACCGTTGTAGCTGCAAAGGAGAAAGCCAGAGCAGGAGGAGGGATGTTGTATTACCTCCATACTGTATTGCAATTGCTGCTACTGAGATCGGAGCCCAGGACTGGTGTCAACAATCCAATAAGGCTGTTGATGACCTGAAGGTAAGTCAGTGATGAACAACAAGATCAAGTGAGAATTTGGAAGCATTTCCTAGAAGATTAGATTTTAAACTTTTTGGGACCAGTAGAGCACTGTAAACCCCCATGAATTCCCATGGGCCCACAGCAAAGCCATCCAGCCCTGACACAGCTGTGAACGTCCCAGGCCAATACGGGCTGCATGGCTCTGCTGGATTTCCCCTGGCCTGGGGAGCATTAACAGTTGGCAAGCAGTCTGTGACTGATGGCCCTGAGGCGTAGCTTGACTTTGTGCCTATTATCTGATGAAAGACAGAGTAAAGAGGAACTTGGGCACAGCCTAGGAGGCATCTCAAGGAGGTCTCAAGCTGTGGGAGTTGCTGTACCGGAGGGCTGGACCACCACGGACTGTTCCCTGAGGGTGCTCTGTGGCTCTGCAGGTGGGGCCAGGGCTGGTTTTCCTATCTTTGAACCTGCTTTCCTGGGCCATGGGATCATCCTGCAGATGGTGACTCCCCTGGAGCTTCTCCTGCAGAATGTTGTCCACAAAATCTACTACCGGGAGAACGTGCTGGCCATAATCTCCAAGTTCATCCTGAGGGCAGAGTGCATACAGGTAAGGCCTCTGAAGAAGAGCAGCCAGAGGAGGTCCCCTGGAGCTTGGTGGCCCAGAGGTGTGAGAAGGAAGAGCAGTTGCCCATGTGGGCTCAGATATGTGTGGGAGCAAAGCACTCGTGGGCAAGATCCTTTCAGTGCTTGGTATGATCTTTCAGTTTTAGCAGCCCAAAGAGCTAAACTGGAGGTTTAGTAAAGAGGGTCCCTGCAGCGGCTCATCTGTTGAGGTGCTATCCCTCTCCTCTGCCTGGGGAACTGGGGCTGAAGGATTAGGCAACCTCTCCCAAACTGCAGGAAGTCTCTAAGAGAACTAATAACCGCACCTGGATTTCCAGCATCCCAGGTCGGCGATTTAAGATCATCCTATCTCCTTCAGTGAGAACCGAGCCAAGAAATCCTGCTGGTAAATTCTCATGAGATTGGGCGACTCCTGACAGAGGTTTTCCAGGTCCTTACCTGAAAACATTTTATGTGAGTATTTATTCACCAAACTCGAGGGAAATTTTTAACAGGTACCTTTTGTACATTTATCTATATATAAATATTTCTGCCTCTGTGTGTGTGAACTAATAGTAAGTATAATCTGTAATTAAGTCATGATTGTAGTAGACTCTACCAACACTTACTTCGTAAATATTAAGTTAATGATTAGGTGCTGCTAAAACTGTGAATGAACTCTAGACTGCTGCTAAACACATATAATCCCTTAGATATAAAGCCTTAGACATAACATGATTTTTCTTTATGTTTCATCTGTGTAGTAATAGAGTGAACCTTGCCATCGAACTCTGTTAAGTTGCACCTTTATCAATCTCTATTAAAATCACTTTCTGCTAATACCTTTGACAGCGATTCTTTGGGTGCCTCTAAACCACTCAGTCGTGACAATTACATGGCGTGGGTCAAGGTGTGCTGCTCACCCACCGTCCAAGGGGGCACATGGCCACCACGCACGCCCATACACACACAGGCGGTAGAGAGGCTTTCCCTGCACAGCACCCGTCCAGCTCTGTCGTGCCACACACCCGGGCTGTGCTCCCCGCTCCTCACCGTGCTCCCACAGACGGGATCTCAGGGTGAATAAAACTTCAAGGAAGGCAAATTGTTGAGCATCAGATTAGAGATGGCGAGTTAAATTAGCTTTGCTGGATTCATCAGTCCTTCTGAAATTAGAGGAAACTATGGGATACCTCCAGCAGAGCCTGAATTCTGAGCTACCATGTCCTTTATTACTAAGGCTCAAGTAGTTGTGTCCTGTTAAGGCAGAAATTAGAGAATCAGGAAATAAGGCAGGATTATCTTAAGCCTCTTATGTTTCCATTTGCAATCTTATCCTTTTAAATGGGTATAGCAAAAAGGACAACTTAGTGCCGGGAGACGCTGGCATACCAAGGAGCACTGTCCTCCGGTCTTCTATGCCTTTTGGCCATACGTTATCCACTTTACATTTTTACATTTTCAAACAAATCGTAACTCCTATCTGGTTAGGATGTGAGGACATCTAGATCTTACTGTTCACTGAAATCACTTTTACATCAAATCTACTGCAAAGCTACAGCCATTCTTACTATTATATTCTGATAGTTGTATTTCTTATTATGGCTTATCTTCACACTTGACTACTAGCCAAGAGAGTTTATCCAATTGCCAGACCTATTGTCATTCCATGTCTTTGGGTTTTGGTTTTTCCCAACTAACAAATCCCCTACAGATTTCCTAATTCTCAAGCAGAGTTATTTTTTGCTTGCCTTTTTTTGAGGGGGGTGAGGGGCAAGGTTAGAAAACCCCAAAGGATATCAAAACAGGTCAAAGAAAAGGATACATGAAGGGTGATGGACAATGTACCTTGGATTTTCCAGTGGTAGGCCTGGGCTCCTTCTCCTTTGAATCCTGGTCCATGTACTTGTTCCACCTGGGACAATTCCCTGGTCATCTCTGGTTCGTTTGGAGGTGGGTCTTGGAGCTCCAAACAGCGCCAGCAAGGCTGCGTTCCCGCATGCAAACCTGCCAGTGATCCCCACTCACCATCACATCTTTGTGAGACACGTTGATGCAGGTCAAGACTGACATAGCCTCCAAGCAAAGATTTCCGTGTCCGCTCATATTTTGGCTATCATTACAAATAGCCGTCAAGGGCCTTGTCTTATGGAAAGGGGTGAGCCCGCTCAGTGCCTGCTCAATGCCCAAATGCCTTTCTCCTGGGCTGAAAGCAAGTTCACAGGTGGATCTGCTGATACAAGTGAAAATCTCTGACCACGCTGGGAGAAACACAGTAAGTGTGAGTTTTAAGACTATCTTGCCCAGCATCAGCTTGCACTGCTTTAGCAGCATAAAAGCCAGCTGAGCTGAATGTGTCCTGGGGGTGTGAATACAAATACTGCATTACAACACACCAAACAACCCCTCCAGCTGGCCAAGTCGTCTTGGTTCACTTTCGGCTATATATCAGTGTCTCACTGGTGAGAGAGCAGCAGGTTCACTGCACTGGCAACCAAGCGTGAGACAGAAGATGCTCTGGAAAATGCTTTAGAGAGTTTTGGATACACAAGGGATGCAGGGAGAAGCCCACTGTAGAGTTTTATGGCTCGTGAAGTCCATCAAAGAAACCACTGCTGAGATTTAGGTCACTTCAATGGATGTCTTCCCTCTTCACAAGAAGACAATCAGCACTGGGTGATGTCCCATTCATGTGCTTGAAAAATAGAAAACCCGACACTTTTTTTTTCCTAAAGGTTGTTTTATTGTAAAACCATAAATACAACACTGACATGAAAATCCTCAAGCAACGGATGCTTTCTTACAGTTACAGTTTGTCTTCTGCCTTGGCATCAACTCTGAAAAGAATGTTGCAGAAACATGTCTCTAAGGTATCTCCAAATAACCGAGCTCTGGCCTGGAGTGCTCAGCTCGTTTGGAAGCTAAGTGGAACTATTCCTCCTCTCTTGTGGAATATTTCCATTCAGACAGCAACAGACTTGTAAAAACAGCAACATTTAAACACCTTTTTTTTTTCTTTAATAATCCTTTTCATTTGACGTCAGTCTAAGTTTCAAACAGCACTGAATTTATTTAGCTGTAAAAAAACCAAAACAAAACAAAACAAAATCCTAAAAAGAAAAAATCAGAAGAACTTGAGTTGGCCTCAAGCGTTCATATATCACAATGAAAATCAGCAACTCAACCCCGTGCAATATTGCTCTCTATTGAGTCATTCGATCCACACCAACAATACATGAGACTTCAAACAGGTTTTGTTTTGTTTATTAACACAGCAAGTGTGACATTAGATAACCTTTTAAATACAGTACATGGTACAGCGCGGGGCCAGCTGCCCGCACTTTTCCCCATTATGAAGACAAAGCCAGCGGTGGCGGTTTATAAAAATATTGTGTTGCTACAAAAGTATAAATTAATGCTACCGGTATTAAGAAATATTAAACACATAAAACTTATAAGGATTAAGAAAAATATTCATTAATACCTGTAGAAAACTCTGGCCTAAAAAAGATATTTTTTGTATATTTTTTGTATATTTTTTTGTATTTTTTAAGATGACATGAGATTCTTGCACTCGCAGGTAGAGACACATGCAGGTGCATCTGTGGTATTGCCTAGAACATCTGCATCTACAGAAAGGAAGGAAATGCACACAAGTTACTGAGGGGAGGGAGGGTGAGGAGAGAAAGGAGAACATTGTTTGCTTGATGAAACAAGAATTCAGCTCCCAACAGGAGGTTTCAAAAAACGAACATACGAACGAGGAACAGCTTCTCTTTTCAGACTGGCTGCAAACAAGGATTTCCTGATGGTTTGGTTTGTCGGCATGACACTTTCTAGCTACGGCGTGGACCAGAATCCTCACGGTCTGGACGATGTGCGTTCCTCCTGTACTTACAGCCTTGGCTAGTCACCTGTCACGAATGTTTCAGTTCATCCGTTATCAGTTTTCCTTTTAAATAATTAAAAAAAATAAAATTAAAGTCCCAATAAGTTTAAAGGGACCATGGAAAACAGCTCCTAAGACTGTTGCTCCTTCCAGAATACATGCCTCCTTCCTTGAGCGGAAAGGTCCTTCTCCATAGATAGCAAGGAAAAAAAAAAATCCCTCCTCCCACCCCCCAGCCCACTGGAAAAAAAAATACCATCCTATCCACAGACATTGCAGAGACCGCCACAAGAACCCCCAGAAGACTGAAAACAAGCATTCAAGGCTGATGAGGCTGGAAGTGTCTTTTTAAGGAACTTTGGTTGTAAAAAGCAAGGGTTTGACATGCTTGTACTCATCAACTCCACTGTAAAATATTCCTATCGTTAAGGCTGCGCTGCTCACCTGGGTGCCAAGACATACCGACCACTGTCAATGATACTAGAACAATGGGAAGGAAGAAAACCCTTTCAGTCAGTGGTTGATGTTGTGCATCGATGAGCCATTTATGTGACTCATTTCAGAAGCTATTCTAAAAAATTCAAACTTGGCTGCCTACAGATCATTAAACCCTAAAGGGTCTACTGGATACACCGTTGCCTAATGTGAGCAAAACTCTTCCGTCAAGTCATAAAACAAAGGACTCTAACAGGAGTAGTAAAAAACCCAACTAACCAGCCAAACAAAAAACAAAATTAAACAGAAATCCTCCAAACATTCAATATATAAAATTAAATTTCAGGGCAATACACTCTCATTGGTTTACCATTTCTGGCCTAGCATAAGCAAACTATCCCACAGTACTAACGAGGCATTCAACTTGGAGCTGTGCTTGGGTTTACCTCTCTGTATTTTTATTACTGTTTGTTTTGTTCAGTGACATTTCCAGAGGCCCCAGGAAGATGATAACCCGTGGCATGGGGACAGGTCCCATGCACTGTAAAAAGGGAGTTCTTATTGCTACGGGGCGACATCTTCAGAACTATCTGACACAGGACCTTGAGTCTCAGCCAATGTTTCTGGGCATTCCCAACAGATCCCACAGATTTAAGATCACGGTGTAGCACAGAAAATGC